TAAACTACTTCATTCACCTTGAAACAGACTAAAACAAAGTTAAAATCATTGTGGTTATAAAACAGTTTCAAGGTTTATAAGAATTTGACTTTTACACTTTGTTTAATAGGATTCTCAGATTGCGGACATATTATCAACAGCTGGAAATGTAGTGACCATTACTATCATGCCTTCCCAGATCTTTGAACACATAATAAAAAGGTACGAGTATTTGTGTGTGGGGGGGTAATGGGCTCTTTATCATTTGAAAGGATGGATAATATGCATTGAACTTATAATGATTATAAAATGCAGATAGTCTTCTCTTACTAACCGCTTCTTCATTGACCAAAATTATCACAGCACTGAAAAGGTAACTTAATGGTTAACTTAAGACCATTGGAACAGTTTCCCAGATATGTGATCAACATTACTGTTGGCACGTTGTCCTGTGCCTGAATTTTATTTTTTTCTCCCCTTACTGAACAGATTTTAATAAAGGAAGCTTTATTTTCTGCACAGGGAAAACAATGTAATTGCACTAGCTGTTAAAATCCCTTTCTCTCCAATTTCTCTACTTTGCAAGGGTGGCTGGAAAATAAGTGATTTCTGTAAGCAATCTCTTCTTTGCCTGACCCTTTCCTGCTGCCAAAGCAATCACGTTGCTTTTGATATGTAGAAGAGCAAACAGCTTACTCCCTTGAAATCCCTACTTCAATCTTTTGGGGAAGAACATTCAGGCAGGGAGAGATTACTTACAGAAATTATTTACTTTCTTCCTACCCAACCACCTTGCAGAATGGAGATTAAAGTGGAAGAGAGTTTAGAGAGAGTAAGTTGTTTGTGTAGCACAACTGTCCTATAATGCGGAACATTTATATTGCTTTTGATAGTAAGCAGACACTTGGGCATTCCAAAGAATGAAACTATAGTTAGCAGACAAACAGAAGCTGTAGATATGAAACTGAGTAGTCTTGTCTATTTCTAGCCAGAAAGTTCAGTTGTGGTCACATGATTTCACACTTACTAATTGCTTCACTTAGAGTCCCAATTAGAGTCACTAAGTGAAGATTATCTGTAAGTTCGTATTGGTAATACTACCTTATTCCAGCAACTTTACCCTCAATTAAATTGGAACACATCTAAACTTTGCTACTGAAATAATTGAAAACTTAACTTTTAGTTCTTGAAGTTGCTTTTTAAGAGTAAACATATTATGACAATATATGTAGTTCAGGATTGAATTGTGAGTCCTTAATGCTGAGTTTGGTTGTTTGCCTGCAGATGTTTCACCCCCCTACTAGATAAAATCAATACAAGTGAATGTGGGGTTTTCTCCCTGCTTTTATACAATAACTGGCTCTGCCAGTTTTGAAGGGGATGTGATTTTCTCTTCTGTAGTTCCTCAATTAGGGTATTTTTTTCTACTTGATAGCAACCAAGCACAGAGAGCACCAAGGATTCCATATATTAATGGATGTTATAATTCTTTGCATATATTTGCTCATAGAATAACATCGTAGCGGTCAGATGTGAAAAACCAGGTCCATGTGCAAAAGTCCAAAATTAACAGATTTATTGCTAAGTCTATACATAGGAATATTTTCAGCTAATGGTCAGGATCTGATTAACATTAGATAAATGTCAACTTGGCAGAAGAACTCTAAACTGATCCCTCTTTTTACTCCTCCACATAGCTCTGCAAATCCTTTCATACAGACCTGCTAATATTAACTCATTTATGGATAACTCAAATATTTTGCGCTAATCTTTTTGTAATTCTACAAATGTTGAATGTCTTGCATATTCCATTATGGGCTAATACATTGTGAACTTTTTTTTTAGGATGGCTTCAAGTATTATGAAAAGCTTGATGGATCATACTATTCCTGAAGTCTAAACATTTTTTGGATGCATTTGTAATTGAGACACTGATAAACATGGGCTACTATGTCTTCGCAATATTTACATTCTGTACATGAGCCTTTCTTTGACATGAGATGCTGCATTGAGCATTTATATTACATTATGGCTGGGAATGTCACATTTCAACAAAAACCTTGCTCACATTTTGAATTTTATATTCATCATGCTACTTTGACAAAACATGCTTCTTTCATAGGGTTCTAATGAAAGAAAACTTAATGTTTGTCAAAGCATCTAGTATTTGCTTTCTTTGATCCAGATATACTGCTGCTCTTTGTACTTTTTCAGATTCATTTTTTTACTGCATCTACCAGTGAGAATATAACTTAGTGTTAATTAACTGATTTTAGTAATCTTGTTTACAGAAAGCATGCTGGTTAAACTGAGCATAGCTTGTATTTATCATTCCATAACAATTTTAAAATAATGTTTGTCTTCTTGCTGTGTTATAAAATTGTTCTAATATGCTTATATTGTGTTGCCTTAATCCTCTTAAAACTGAAATAAAGTTGCAAATATATTCACTTCCTAAATGCATAGTATTTTGTATTGATGAATCTCTAAATCCTGATTGTTAGCACTATAATCCATCATAAAAAGGAAGCAGTGAAAGTGTTAAACATTTTACGTCAATAGTGTTTTTTGGGGGCTCTTGAAATAGTAAAATCAGTGTAGGCCATAGTATTTCTTTTATTACATCAACCAATTTTTCTAAAATGAAATAAAATGTAATGTTGGACATAGGTAACATTTTAATAGCTTAGTCATTAGGATTTTTAATTTATTTCTTCTCTAGCAGATAGCCTTTGATATAATAATTGTAGTAAGAAACCACCAGCAGTTTACTGATGTTTTATCAGTTGGATATCAAGCTTTAATGCTAGAAGATAAGCCCAACCTGGCAGCTAGACAGAAGAAAAATGTTACAAATACTGGCATGTAATATGTGAATTCTATCATAGGTATAATACAGGGAAGCTGAAGGGTTTATTGGCGCATACTAATGAAGAATCGTTGGGAATTATGACTTGTGTGGTCAATTTAATAACATGCTTTTCTGTTAAACTGATCATCTTAGAAGGCGAGGTTTAAGAGAACTAGACGATAACATTAAACAATGTTATTGGAAATAAACAATATTTACCACTACTACCCCCAAGCAGAAACAAAAAATTTGGGAAATTCATTGAAACAGCATATTGTGTAGTTTTAAGTACTACATATAGAGATCAGTATTTGAATGGGCCTCAGTAGTGAGTATGCAAGCATCTTTTATATTGGTTTGCAGAGGAAGGTGAAAAAGGATTCATGTTTTGGTCTGGCCAATAAATCATCACAGTTGATAAATTTCTTTAGATTAAACTGTAGCACTTGACTTAACTAAGGGTAAAGTGATAATGACTGTTTTCATTTAACGTGAAATATTTTTTAGTAAATGAAATACTTCCCAGTCCAAATACAGAGATACTAGAAGTCAGTGAAAGGAAAAAAATGATATGGGACAAAAATGAGCGTTCTATGTCAGACCTAGTACATGTGGATAGAATGTTAAACTCCACATGTCCCTGGCACTTGGTAGAGATTTGAATGCGAAATAATGGCAATATATAGATAACTCTTAGTAAGAAGATGGGAAGGTATTTGATAAGGAATGTGTGCTAGCCCACAAAAAGAAAAAAAATAAGCAGCTTTATAAAATCAGGAAAAAATACTTTCCCAACTAAAAAAGTTAAGTTATTCAGCAATCAAACTGTTGGTTGACAATGAGTGGTCTATAGAGTGAAACAATAAAAACATGATCATATTCAGATGGAAGTTTAGGGAAAATATTTCTGCCAAGTACATAAAACTGAACAAAATCCTATTAGAAAGCAGATGACAATGGATTCTTTGGCACAAAGCCCTCTGGTTCTCTGGCCAGCCATTTTCTCTCTTAGCTCTAGGAAGAAGACAATGGCAAACCAGTCCAGTAATTTCCAAATAAAGATAAAATTTACCGATTGCAATATTGGCAAAATAATGCCAAGAAAACTGCAGAGATTTGTCTAGGCCCGTGATGGTGAACCTATGGAACACGTGCTGGAAGTGGCATGCAGAGCCATCTCTGCCAGCACGCGAGCTGTCGCCCCATGTCAGGTCCATTACATATGCACGTGCGCCTCCCACCAGCCAGCTGATTGTCGAGTATTTGCCGCACATGTGCGGGGGGGGGGGGGCAGGGCACGCACAGGAGATGCATGTGTTTGCGCAGAGGCACAGGGCATGCAGGGGGAGTCATGCACATGCGCAGAGGTGCGGCACATGGGATGTTGCATGCACATGCGCAGGGGGGAAACGTGTGCATTGCATTATGGATGCAGGTACTTTCTGCACACAAGGATGAAAAGGTTAGCCATCGCTGGTCTAGGCAGTCTCCAGACATCAACACTGATTTGAAAACAAACATACAAGGAACAACATAGAGAGTAGTATGATTTCAAGTTAAAACATATTGGTTATTGAAAAATAAGTTTATTTTCAACAGGAGTATAAGACAAGTACCTCAAGCTGCTACAGTATTCAGTAAATAGGCAAGAGCATATAGACATTTGTAACATTTTAGAGTCTTCATCAATATACGAAGGGGACCAGAAGTTCTGTTTGAACTATAGAAAGCATTTTTACATTTTAGCAAGGTCCTTTTAAAATTCTGGTTTAAAAATATTAAGGATTGAGATTATCAGAGAAAAAGCACTTAGTATTGCTGTTTCCAGAACACAATTTGTCTGTCTTCTCCTCCAGTAATTATATTGCTGCACTGGTCATTCATCCACATACAAGTAACAGCACCTAAGGAAGATACATATGCAAGTCAATCAGATTGACCATTTCCAACCACCTTCCTGAAACTTCTAGCTGCAATACATAACTTTATTCCAACTACAAAAGATGTTAGCTCACAGCACCTATGAAATTACATTTTGAGAAGCAAGTTATAGAATTTGTCATACTTAATTTGAGAAATTATATACCAAAAGCTCTCAAGCTAAGCTAAAAATGGTGGGACATGAAACTGTTCTATAAACTAATGATTAATGAACAGGAAACAGTAAAAAGTAATATGCATTCCTATTGGCGAGGCAGTATTTCCAAGCGTCTGATTTGGGCCTGGTACTTTCAAAATTGTAAATAATAATCATGAATTTCATGAACTAAGAATAACTTCTAAAACTATTGAGTTGATTGCCTTCCAATGTCTCCATATTTGAAAAAAGAAAGTTGCAAAGCCAAGATGCCAATAAAGAATATTTGTAGTTCAGGGTTGAAATGAGGGGTCCTTAGTGATCTCTGAGCTTGGTTGTTTTATTATTATTATTGTTTAGGTAACATTATTAGTTCTACTAAGGAGTGGGGTTTGCTGTCAGTTCATCAGAAGTCATGTACAACATACAGTGTAATGACTGCAACAGCCACTACACTACGTAGGACTAACAGGAAAAGATATGATAAAAACACTTTAATTTCAGAAAAACGACAGACTTAACCATAGTTTCATCTAGGAAACTGACAAACCTAGACCAAGCCAAGTCCAAAAATGCTAGGGAATTTCTAGAAGCTTGGCATTAACAAATTAACCATCAATGGGCACATAGCTAAACAATATCTACAGGCAAAAATTGACAAATCAACAAGACAAAAACAAAACAAAAACACCAAAACATCTCCCTACCAGCAATCAGATGAGCATACATTAATTACAAGATTAACATCAGATCAACAATCAAGAAGTAAATAATAGCACAATCAAGGGACTGCCAACAAGCTAACAGTTTGAGCCCAACCAAAGAATTTCCAAGGCCACCTCCACCAATCCTGTCAGGGCAAGACAATAGAACCTCACTCCTTCTAGCACTATGATTTTACCTAGTTTGGTTAATGAAATATCTACAGGAAAACATCCAAACTTAGAGAGCACCAAGGACCCCTCAAAGCCAAGACAGAATAATTTGAGGTCAACATTGTTCCTGGTTTTCTTATACTTTTCATTAGTTTGTTTTATAAAAACATCTCCAAACTATGGAAAGTGTATTAGCAAATAACAAAGCAGACACAAACCTATCTTTAAGGAAAGAGAATGCTTTCAAAAAATTATTTGCTATGGGGATTGTGAATGTAATACCTGAGCACGTGTAATATTTCACAGTTGTTCCTGGTGGGTAGAATGCAGGTAACAGTATATTTCTTTGTAATGTAGCCTCTACACTGAAGATCCTGGTTTGCATAAAATAGTCTGAATATACCCAGGCTAAAGACTACCCAGAATCATAAGAGTTAGAAATCCTATAAATCAATTCAAGTCAAACTGATATTTCCCCCTCTTCTATCCTTAAAAGTTCACTAAACCTTTTGGGAAGTCAGATTCTTTTGTCTCTTATTTTTTTCTTGGTCGAAATTGTTTACAATCTCAGTTTAGTAGCTTCAAAAATGTTTTGCTTATTTCTTAATATTCTAAGCTTTAGTATCCATTTAATAAAGATCATGAACCTTATTGAGCCAATATTTTGAATTTTCCATTGAATGGTTTAATAGGACTCTTTACAGCAATATTCTGGCTTCTTTCTATAGTATACAAATTCTTAGGATTCTTAGTTCATGCTATCAGGATCGATAATTTTATACAATAGTTTAAGAAGCAAGAGCAACTTACAAGGCGGGCATGCACTTTATCTAATATTTAAGGGCTTCAGAGATTTGAAATAGAAGCATTTTAAAAATATATTCAAACATACCTGCATGTCCTGGAATTTTTCCTACTGTTTTTCCTCCAAGTATATCCCAAACAAACAATTCTCCCGACTGACTTCCTGATAAAACTATGTGTCCATCCCACTTGAAACATCTGCAAAAATAAGTTTATCAAACAAAAATTAGTTATCAGTTGATGTTATATAACTTTATTCTCACCGATACTTACATTGCCCAGGGTTTAATAAAACATAGGCTGTTGCTAACAAAGTGTGGTTTCAGATTAAGAAAATTTAAATGTATTTGTATTTTGAGTGATAATTTGGTAAATTAAAGCCATTACTATAATCAAATGTACCCAAGCTAAGGAGATAATTTAGAAGTTTTACATTTTCATATTTTTAAAACATTAACATTAACGTTGTGCTAACTTTAGAGGGACAAGCCCAGATTGCAAAGTCATCTCTTTCTCCCCAGGTAATCTTATGAGACAAATCTTATGGGTCCAATCTTGAGTCAACATATATGAACATTTTTTCAAAACTTGAAATAAATAACTAATCTGTTTCATACACAGTATAAGTTTAACATGTTTTTTTTTAAAAAAATAAATTTGGCAAAAGAGATTACCTTTGAGTCTGCTCCAAAGCTACAGAAGAGATAATCATTCCAGTTTGCACATCTGTAACTTTAAAATGGGCATCTTCTCCTGTGCTTAATAGGTGTCGGCCATCTATATTACAAGAATAGCTACACTAGGTATTCAGTTCAAGTTTTTGACTGAGCAGAGAATAAAACACCCATCAGCCTCAAAACCTGATACCATAGTTTAGCTTCAGGAAAATTAGCTAGTTGATAAAAGAAAGATGCATTCCAAATAACATTCACCATTTTGACTGTATGCATGAATGCACACAAGGAAAAACAGAAAACTTTTAGTGCTATAAATTGATGTCTTTCTTCTCTGAAACAACTAATATGCTACAAAGATACTAACATAGATATGCAAGGCAAGGCAAGCTAGCTACGATGTTTGAAACTTTGTTACAGCTGCTGTTCTGTTTTATGATTACAAAATGAGATTGGGATTGCCTGCTAGCAGCCACAATCTATAATCAATTTACTGAAGAATAAACTAACTGAATATACCAGGCATTCCTCAATTTACAATAATTGAGCCCAAACTTTTCACTGCTGAGCATGACAGTTCTTCTCACAAGCTGTTAAATGAATCACTGCAATTGTTAAGTGTGTAACACAGGTGTTAAGGGAATAGGGCTTCCCCATTGGCTTTGCTTGTCACCCCAGGACACTGCAACCATCATAAATTCATGCCAGTTGCCAGGTGTCCGAATTTTGATCATGTGACCATGGGGAATGCTGCAACTGTTGTGACAGCCATATATCACTTTTTTCAGTGCCGTTATAACTTCAGATGATCATTAAATGAATGTTTGTAAGTCGAGGATTACCTGTGATGGCCCTTGTTTTCCCAGTAACACAAACAAGTATTGTATTGGAATTGTATGTTTCCAATCCAGAATTAGATAAGAGCTTTGATTATCCATAAGGTTGAGTGTTTTCCTTGACGGAATGGGTATTTAAGAAGAAAATTTGAATTACCCATACCAGGACTGAAAGCAACATCCAAAACAGTTGCTGAATGACATGGAAGGCGATGCAGTATAGAAGCAGCAGTAACATCCCATATACTAATAGTTCCATCTTTTGTTCCAGATGCTAGCAGAGTATATGCAGGATTCAAGGTGATAGTTGTTACCTAAGCAATTATGTTAACGTTATTTATTTCCACATTATTAATAATATATACAATGATAAGTAAGTTTTCACACATTCTCTAATATACTGAATCTTTATGCCTGAATCACTTGAATATTTAAAATTATATGCATACATACTCCCCCCCCCCCCCCCCAATCAATGAAGGATCACTTTCACAGACAAAATGAGCACAAGAAGATGGTATTTGTCTGCAGAGGCTTCTGCTGGTCAAAAAATCAAGATAGTGGTCACGTTGGTACAATCAAAGCTCTACTTTTTAATGTCTGTCACATGTAAAAATAGGCAGAGATTTGCCTGCCTGCATCAGTGTGGCCACTATCTTGACATTTTTTTTATCATATGCTGCAGATATCCTTGATCAAATTTGTGATCCTTGGGTACAAGATTCAAAGGCAATCAATCTGAAAATTATTATGTATCTTTATACTTACACTAACATCATGTTCCAATTCAGCAAGCAATTCAAAATGTTTCTTAGTGTTTAACAATTCTGTTGGATTACAGTGCCACACCTGGAACATAAGATACAAAAGGACTATAAATATATAAGCATTGTTTTCACTCATTATGCCATTCATATAAGATATAAGGAATTGAAAAAAAATGTGGAAGACTTTTTTATACAGAATAACTGCAGTAAGATTATTACATACACAAAGATAGAAAGATTTGGCAATAGCTACAACATATGAATGGTCAGTTAAGATATTTAGAACCCACTGAACTTGACTTATTGGATTGCAAAAACAAAAATAGCTACATTTATTTTTGTGTTTCTATTTTTCAATTATATTATGCATGTAAGATATTAAATGACTTACTGAAAGTCATATGGTTTGTTCCATATGGTTTGCTGTTATAAACATTTGTAATACCATATCACTCTTCACAAATTAAACAATTCAAAGCCTATGTATCTAAGCCACCTTAGATCTCTTAGCCTTTTCTGCAGCTGTTTGCAACTGTTAATATGAAGAACTTTTTGTCATTCAATTTATCTGGTGGATTGTTCTTAGGCTACTTTTCCTAGAAGAGATCAATCAGTAGTACATAGAAAAATGGATCATCCATGAGGCCACAATCTACCTAACCAAACAGCACAAGAAGCACTATCAACTAGAGATGATTAAATAGATTCCATGGGTCAGTTTTATAAAGTAATCATTACTAAGATATCTCAAGTAGTCACAGTCCATGAGTCAAGCTAGCTGCTACTACTCAATTTACAAATGGAAAATTTTGGAACTATAATAGAAACCTAATGTTGCAAAAGGGACAGATTTTGTTATCTAATTACAAAGTTATTGTTACAGATATATGATGTAGCTACTCTCCAGATGCACTGCACTAATCCAAGTTTTTTAGTCAGCATGAGTTAAATCTTGAAAATTGTAGTCAACCTGTATTGTATCTAGTGGGCACTTGGTAGGAAATAATGACCTACAAAATGTCTTCCATCACAGTCATACTTACTTTTATTGTTGAATCCCAAGATGCAGAATATAAACGATTATTATGCCAACAGATCTTGCTGACAGCATCATGATGCCCTATTAAGGTGTCCTGCTGCCTTCCAAAAGCTACTGAGTAGAAATAGCTTTTAGAAGTAAAAAAGAAAGAAAAGGATATATTAAATATTTTGGAGAGCACTTTTATTTTTATTTACATCCACTTACAAAGCCAAAATGTAGTTCTTTTCATTTCCCCATTTTAAAAGTATTTTAAAATGCATTTATATTTGGGATTGTCCTGCTCATTAGTTTCAGTGGGAGATCTTCTAATAAAGCAAATATTGCAATGTCAGCAATTAACAACTTATTTTGCTTCCTGAGACCAACTTATTTTGCTCCCTGAGATAAAGAATAAAACTGCACTGATTGGTTATTGAATCTTTTGTTAATCTCTGTTGTTCCCAAAGGCTAATTTAAGAAGTGTTGTAAGGAGACTGTGGTGTAGCATAAAAATCTCTCCCTCACAACCTGCTGCCATTTATCAGCTGCTAACAACTGCTTCATTCAAAGATTTAGCCATGGTAGAAATAAATATTTCTGTCAAGAAAACTTGGCCAGATCTGGTCACTGGGTTAACCCATTGTGCAACATATTATATACAATTATATCCAACAAATAATTCTATTCTATTACTCATGTACATGCACAATCTTTTGCCTCCTCAAATTCACTTAAAATTAGCTCATGGAAAGACTGGCCCCGAATTAAAAGAATCATGAACTAGTGCTGTACATTTAGGAATCTGTAAAATCACATACATATTATTGTCCCATGAAGAACATGCAACGGTGCTATTCCCTGGTAAGATTAAACAAGACGACAAAGCCTGTAACAAAATCAACAAGTGGTTGGTTCATATTATTAAATTATATATTAATATATTTTGAAACAACATATTTTGTATTTGATGGATTCAAAAGCTATTTTTTGAAGAAATTAAGCATATGACATCATTTTGGTGTGTCTAAATCTTCAAAGATAGCTAAGATAAAAAAGGAAAAAGGAGCCATCTGTATATCAGGCCTTTAACTAGGTGTTCCTAATAGAGATTGTATGCCCTAGATTATATCAGTTTCCTGGCTTGGATTTAAAAGGAATATTGTCCTGGCTGGCCAGATTCAAAGGCTTAAGATTGGCACTAGGCATCAAGAAGCTTTGTATATTTTGTAACCTACTTCTAGTTGGCAAACAAATCAGCAGCCTCTAATTCAGCCTGCATCAATTTTAGCTGTTTTCTGAATTATAGACCCAACCAAATCTAAAAAGGCTACAGTAAAGGCTTGGAAGAACTGACCATGTTTGAGAAAGACACACTCCTCTGAAGCATTTTTGAATCTGCCGAAAACATCTTCAAAGTTGAATCTAACGTAAATGATGAGAGAAAAATAATAAGAACTGTGCTCATTTAAACGCATCCTTCACCTTCCCATTTGAAAAATCAACCTAGCCAGGATACAGACATTCAGTTGGAAAAAAGTCTGTGTTTGTGCAATCCTGTATTCTGATGCATAAGTAGTAAGTACATCTGTTAAGCAATGGAAAGGTATTATATATTTTACATTACTATATAAATATATATTAAAGGGTAAAACATTACTTTCTTTGCTTGCACAGGATAAACTTCTACTTCATTTTAGATTCATTTTCACTGAACATGGAAGGAGTATAGATTGTTCTACAGATGCAATTAAATCTATTTTCTGTATTTTTTGCAAAACTTCGTGTTCATGGCAAGCATGCCAATCTCTACCTTGTATAAAACCACTTCTGTTACTATATTTTTCACCTACTGTAAGTACAATGCTACCCTAACTTCTAATATTTTAACAGGAATTTGTCCATACTTTGCAGGCATCACATCAATTCAGAAATACTTCTGGTTATTTAAGGAAGTTAGCTTCTGCATCATGTGATGTTTTCTGTACTTCCTATGGAACAGCTTCTTCCTTTTTGTTCATCCATCCATCCATTTAATAATATATACATATTAAAATGTTCAAATAGTCTGTGAATCTTTGGATTTTTAATTTAATGTAATTTTAATTCTACAGACCATAATGTATGCCAAGCCTATAGTAAACCAATTTGAAATTCTAACATTTCACATTACTTGAAAGCAGGCACCTGATAAAGACATTACTTACCTAGAGATGTAGTAAAGATGGAAGATTGGTTAGAAGTAGAACACATGGCAATTCCGGTTATTGGCCTTTTCAAAACAAAACCATGTTATTTCTTTAGTTACTTCAGACTGAGTGAAAACATACACCAGTGCTTCCTGAAGTCTCTAACTAACTTATTACATTTAATCCATGCCGGAATTCTAAATTTGTTTGATATTCAGATGTAAATCCATTTGTATTCAATGAATTTACTCCAAAGTAGCTAAAGTAAGCACTTCATTGATAAAGTCTTAAAGGAAGGAATATTTAAAACATTTCAAAATTGCAGACATCACATCAATTCAGAGTGATTTCTCATCCAAGCTCAACAGAAGCTGTTTTCAAAATGAAAATGCTCAAATGAACTTCCCAATGATGGCCAGTTAGTACTGGTGATACTGAATTAAAATTTCAACATTTAATTACACCAAAATTATTTTTTCACCCCCTTGGCTCAGTTCAAAGCAGTTGTTTTAGCTGTTAAGATCTGAAGAATCTGACACCTTTTTTTTTTTTTTTTTACAAATCACCTTCATGTTCTTATCCAGGAGGATTTTCTGCCATTGTCTTAGAAAATATTTCTCCAATTGTGTTATTTGGGGTTCTACCCAATGTTTGCTAAATAAATGAAGGAAAACATCATTTATTTCATGAGATGCAGAATGGCAACATCTTTGCATTAGTTTCAGTATCTTGCTTTAGGTACTTTTTTACTCTTTCAATATTTTGACATTCATCCAAAATATTTAATTGCTTTATAAGAGTGAAAATGCCATTAATAAGAACAAAGGGCAATATATTAAGTCCAGCTTTCATATCAGACCAAATATCTGAGACTTGTTTGAGCAAAATAAATTTTTGTTCCTGATGGCATCCTGACTCTGCAGGACCATTTTTCCCTGCTGAAAAACAGCTGGTTTCACCACCAAAGCTAGCTGTTTGGCAGCATGTTTCCTGGATTTGAACTCAAGATGACCCTCAGACAACCATGGACCTACCTGAGAAGAGCACCCTAGAAGATACCAACTCAAAAGTGAGAGCAGTCGGAGTGCCGAGTTGCCATCTTTTCCAACTAGCTGCTCCTTTAAGAATACATGGGTTTTAACATCACATTCTGATTCTTTTTTGTTCTTTTGATTTTTACTTGCAATGTATTGGTTTAATGCTGATCTAATTTAATCCCTTCTTGATCTTAAAATGGTTTCTTCTTTATATTCTTTTTATTGTTTTATTAGCTGCCATAAATTACTTCTCATGGAAGGCATGGCAACTTTGGCTAGTGAAAGATATCTGATTTTATTTATGTTGATATCATAAATAATATCATGCACTACAGGAATTATGTACTATTCTATGGAGTTTTTTTTTTTTTAAAAAAAAACCTGGTCTTAATTGTTTTAGTTTTTGACAAAAATATCTCTTTTTATGCTGGAAAAGCTCTTCTCAGTGTGTTTGAGACTTATCTGTTATGGCATACTTCCTGTCTTTGGGAGGAACTTTTTGTGACTGGCTATAAAAGTTCCAGTTGTCACAATTTAACTACTGAGGTATTTTGGATTATATTAATCTATAGTCAAAATGCAAGAAACATATGAAGACAAAGTTTATTGGTAAAGCTGGGCAGAAATAATACTTTTCAACTTACAAGTTCATCTTGAAAAATTAGATAAAATGCTTGATAAAGTAATTATGGTTTTAAAAGATTGCAATCAGATGCAAGTAACAGCACTATTGTATCACTGTTATATCAGATGCAAGTAATAGCACTATATAGATTGGAATGTAACTTGCTGCTAGCAGTCCTGAAAGTTGAGGTGAACTTGGAAATTATAAGTTGGTTAGAGAACTCTGAGAAAGGATACTTTTTTGTACAACAAATGCTGTGGAAATACACACAACAGAGAATTATGACTCGGGGGAATAAAATCCAGCTGCTAGAAAGTATCCCGATTAATATATTAAGGAAAAGCCTTATCACTAAAAATCAGTTGAAGATATTTGATCCTGGATGGACCAGAGACAATGATTGTGGTGACTTATGGTAGACCAGAAGTATTGTGAACTTTCTGCAGGTGAATATAATAAATAGATTCTTAACAGAGGGTTTTGAAATTTAATTTAGTAGTTGGTTTTACCTGTTAACTATGGTTTCATATAGTAGACTGATGTCAGGCTAAGTGGGCTGGGTAAACAGTGTTATAGAAATTTATAAATTGTGTGCTTGCTTCGCAAAGGGGAGGAGTTATTTTTGAAATATATTTATCAGTATTCAACTAGGAGGGACCATTTATGTGTATGTCTGATTTTTTACGTACTGTTTTTCGATGTGGTCCATTTTGCATGTTTCCCAGTTTCTGGAGTTTTATTTTAATGCTTTGAATAAAATAAAAATTATTTGCCAAAAATAAAGAAATTTCCTTCCCTATGCTAAGCATTTCATTTCTTGCAGTAGGGTTGCAGATCATATATATATATATATATATATATATATATATAAATAAATAAATAAATAAATAAATAAATAAATATTAACTTTATACAATTGCCCATCTGGCTGCTACAATTTACCCTTTGTGGATCTTGTACTGCCCATCAAGTTTTAAACTGGCCATGTTATTCCAGGAAAGTAAGATGCTTTCTTCTGTCAGATCTTCAAAAGATTCTTCACCTGGAGAAACTTTGCAAACATGGTAATAATGTAAAATCAAAGTAATGAGATGAAAGTCAAAAAATGTACATTTATTGTAGGATGTTATTTTCTTTTTTCTTTCTTAAATACCCCCCCTCCAAAAAAAAGTATCAGTTATAATGTCTACCATGAGGCACCACATTATCAATTTTATCCTTAGAGGTAATCATGGTCAGAAGTTATTCTATGGGGCTCAAACCTGGTAGGGAAGTCAGGGACTGAAATAGACAACAAGCTGAACAATAAGCAGACTCTAAAAGTTTACTAAATTTACCTGAAGATTCAGTCACAGAGAGGCTATAGCTGGACGCTCGAGACCAACTTTTTAACTTTGGAATTATCCTTCTTGGATGAGGGATTGTGAACAATTGTTTTGGAGTCTGTCCAAATTCCAAGATTTGTGTCAACAGAGCTACTCTTTCATTTGTGTCCATAATGCTTCAGGAAAAGAAAAAAATGACCTTGCATTGTACCAAGAAAAACATCACAGTATATATAGATATATAATATTATTATATACTGTTATCTATGGATATTCTCATTCAGGCTTATTCAGTCGAAGGTGCTTTTTCCAAAAGGTAACTGAACTTACTTGGTTTTTTTCTTTGAAAATTTTTCACTTCTTATTCAAGAAGCTTCTTCTTGGGATCTAACAACCTTCCCTCAGAATACTAACAATCAAATGACTGCAAAGAATATAAATCCTTGAATTCCTCACTAGTTGGTTAGAACTGACAAATCTTCTTGGATGAGGTGAAACATTTCCAAAGAAAAAAAAAACAAGGAAGTCCAGTTGCCTATTAGAAAAAAGCACCTTTGGGCATATTTATTATACTAGGTTAAAGCTGTATGTTTCTACCAATAATAGTTCTCATAGTTTATAGGATTCAAGATACGGGATGTTGTCTCCTTACCTCTGTGGCAGGCACTATAATGCCCACTAAATTATTTCTAACATAATAGGAAAATGAGGGCTTTTTCTCCACCCCAAATAATTACTTTGTCTGGCATGAAATGCAAAGGGATGCAGACATTGTTGTTGAAAAGATGGCTGTGAAGACTGACTGTGGTTTTGAAGGAGCTGCTTGTCTGGTGGATTTAACCCTTTTCAACAAACAGGCCTTCTTTTTCTTGTTTCTCTTTAAAGTTTTCTTGTCTTTCCATGATCCCTACTCAGTTGTATTTCTTCCCTCTCTCTCCCATATCCAACCAATATCTTATTGATTTTATTCTTTTTTTGTTATTTCTGCTGGAAGGATAGAGAAATGTCTTTGAATGAATGGTATTTGCAAGAGAGTTTGAGAGATATTTATAGGCAATTCATTTTCATGGTACTGTTTAACTAAACATATGTTTAGAGACTTTTCTGTTCTGTTCTTGCTTCTTATATCAGTGATCCCCAATCTTTTTTACGCCGCGGCCCAGTACCGGCATCAGCTGGGCGCCGCGGCCCGGTACCGGCATCAGCTGGGCGCCGCCATCTTTTTTTGATGAAAACGTGCTTCCAGTGAGCTTTCTACCCGGAAAAGCTCACCGGAAGCGCTGGCGTCGCCATCTTTTTTTGATGAAAACGTGCTTCCGGTGAGCTTTCTACCCGGAAAAGCTCACTGGAAGCACTTTTTCATCAAAAAAAGATGGCGGCGCCCAGCAAGCCAGCGGCCCGGTAGGACTTGTTCCGCGGACCGGTACCGGTCCGCGGACCGGTGGTTGGGGACCCCTGTCTTATATGACTTATGCACACATTTCGTGACAGGAAGAAATCTTCAGGAAATCTGAGGATATACATTGGTAGGAGGAAATTTTTCAGCACCTGGCAATCCTAAACTGGAAAAGTAGTGTTTTTCCTATTTTTTTCTTTTATTTCTGCTGTTCTTTTTTATCGATAATCATTTTGAATTTTGAATCAACTTTTAGTAAAGAATATGGAATGAGAATCTGAAATGTTTTTAACTCCAGTTTAATCTTTACAAGACTGAATTAACCAGAATTGCATATTTCTTAAACTAGTAAATAAAACATTTTACAAAACTTAACTAGCTAATTGCACAATTAATTTATGGAAACACAACTCATATGCAGATTCCACAAAATCTTCAAAATGGCCTGCAAAGTCTACAAAGTCTTAGGAAGAGAAATTTACTTTAGAATGTATTCTGTTCTTTAATCAGCTTTTTCCAATATCACCCTTTAAAATACTATTTTGATAGAAACAGCTTCAATGTTTATGCCAAAATTGTCCTTTTCAGAAGTCAAAGTTTGATTTAGACAAACCAGGATCTCAATACCAAACTTGGAATCAGAGGGGAGCAGAAACATATGAGAATCTTGAACTATTCTCAGCATGTTTACGAAGTCGGCAATGTGGCATTGAGAAAGGCCCAATGCCACTGATTTTATTAATTACTAATGTGTGGCTTTTGAAGCTTTCCAAATTGAGCATCCCATTAAATGTACAGGATTATAAGTGGGCTATGCACCAAAATGTTGCAGTATGCAGTGATTCTACTTAGGGTTTCAATAAAGTAATCATGCCCACTTCAAGATTATGCCATTGCTTGATTTCTTCATGCTCAACTCCAGTGCCTCCTCTTCCATCAGGCATTGGAGCATTCACGTCATGGAATATGTTTTGTGTTCAGCCTACCACTCCTGAACATGCATCTTGCACCATTCTTTTTAGGTTTTTTCCTAAAGGGTAAGTTGCTGCTTATACCGTTTTGCAAACCTAAAGATTGCCTAAAGACTATCACAGTATCTCCCTTGAGTGCATATAAGATACCTCAGGGTTCATGCTAAAGAACTGCATTGGGGCAGTTTCATTTTGGGGGTGGGTGGCGATTAAGCATCATACATAGCATTCTCTTAAAGGGAGATGGATAAAATTTGCAATTAAACCCAGGATTTGTAATAGAAGGAAATGAATACTATATCCTCACTATAAGCATATAGAAGTTACCTGTTCAGATCTACTCCTCCTTCATAGGTTAAAGGATGAAATACTAAAAAGAAGCAGAGAAGTATACTACTTACTTGAAAATACAATTGTTGTGGCAAGACTCTTAATCAAGAAGCATTCTGCAATCTCTCACAACAACATGCTGTGTCATTTGTACACAATCAATTTCAGCCATAATCAATATCAGACACATAGCACTTATTGTCTGCTATATAATTTTTTAAAGTTCTAACTCTCTGCAACTGCTCCACATCCAAATAGTCTTCTCTTTATAATCTCTGATGACATGAATTTCTAACCATTATACAGCTTGTGCTCTAAATAGCTCTCTGAAACAGAATTTTAACCCATTTCTCCTCCTTCTGTGAATTATCTGTATCAGACAATGCTAACTGCACCTCTTCGTGCCTTTGAAGGCTTATATGGCCTACTTCTCAGAGGCACAAGCTTTGATTATGTGAACTAATGCAGTGAACAGACGTCTAGTAAAGCCAAATGTCCATTGAGGGAGGGAGGGACAGCTGTACCCAAGAACCAAGAAGCAGCATGAGCACCAGTCCAGTGATAAAAGACAACTCCAGAAACCATAAACACAGCAGATTAGTAGATCAAAACCTGAGTGCATCCAGGAGGCCACCTGGAAACTAGGAATAGTTGACAGGATCATAGTCCAACCTTATGGATCTGAGAAGTAGAGAAGCTTCCAAAGACAATGAAAAGAGTGGAGGAAGCAAAAAGCAGCTTAGAAGCCATGCAATGCCTAGCTGCAACCAGGTGGAGCCAGTAGATATTTTTCAGATTTAATCCAAATCCACTAAATCAAAATACTGTATATTATGTAAAAGTTTTATTGCAGAAGTCCTAGAACTGAACTTCCATTGCTACTTCAAGTACCAGTCAAATATGATAGATAGTTCTGTCTGGTTTATTAATGAATACATAAGCAACCCACTCTACTTTAGAAGCATCTTATTACCTTAATTAAAATAGAAATATATCTGTGGCTATTCAGAAGCAAGCCACACCAAATTCATATAATTTACTTCCGTGTATATTTATATAAGATTACGGTCACGACCTGTAACTGTATCTTTAACTAAGAGAAACTTAAACTTAATAAGGATATAATCAAGCAAGATAGATACATAGAACAAAAATCAGCAATACTTGCAGACCTTTACCTGACAGCAAATACTAATTAACATAATAAAATTTATTTCTGAGAAAACGTATCTAGGACTGTGCCATTAAAATGTACTTGAATCTGTTTTCATTAGCTTCATAATTTAGAACAGATGTGGAAGAGAAATTGGTACATTATGACATATTATGTGTTCAATAACGAGAAGAAGTCCTATTATAAGAGAGAGCCATACAGCTGAAATGTATAAATAACTGTTAAGAGCTGTAAATATCTATATCAAAATTACCATTCTGAGCTGCAATGGCTTCATTGCCCTTCTGCTTATAGCCAAACACAAGATCAATCCATTCATGGAGATGTTCTGACACATACTGGCTTTCTAAAGCATCTTGACTCTTCTGGAGAAAATCATTGGCATCTGAAATAAATAATATCCAAATTTCTTGCATGTTGTCGAGAGCACACCTCTATTCACATTTTCCTGTCTCCCTTAAAAAAACTAATTAAAAAGGCACAAGGGCTTTTATTAATCAACAATTCAGAATTTTGTCTTAATTACCTTCAAAGCCCAGAGTAGGAGAAAAATGATGTTATCTAATGATGTTATTGAATGAGTGAGAGCTAATCTCTGAAGCAGAATCCAGATAACAGTTACACCTAAAATTCTATTTACCTGATGCCCAAGGAGGAAGTTCTACATTGTCAACCATCTTTCCTCCTTGTGTCTTCCCCAAGTCCAGTTTCAGATTATTTAATAAGAAACTAGAATCATTTTCATAGAACTCAGGGATTAACTGGATAAAAGAAAAGTGGGGAACTGTTAGCAATGAAACAAAATTGTATTTATATTCATAGCAGCTTTACAGCAAAGCATTTACTGGTGTTTATTCATGCATCTAAAACCAGGATAAGGCACTGTCACACAACAGACCGCAAAAAAGAAATCCAAACCTGAATAACTCCTAACAGAGGATAGACCAGTAGTTCCATTCTTGGTTTGAATGCACAGTAGCAATTGATAGAATGCACTGTTGGCCAGGTATTTTTAAGTTTGGGCATTTGTCACCAACATGCCAGAGCATCAAAGATACAGCATTCACATTAACCATGAAGTTATCAGATTCAGACTATTTCAAGTAAACCATAAAGCTACAGTTGGTATCAGGAAACTTCTGGGGCCAAATATTGTGGGACTTTATTTCCTTACCTTAAAATATCAGTCAAAACTGTCTCGGTTTGAGCTTCTTCGGCGACAGACCGAAACCTCGTCTCTGTGAGGCTTCGATCTGTGCTCGCCGCTGGAGTGCCTTGAGCCGGCTGGTTTTGGGGCTCCCTCCAATATCATTTATTATCTTAGTCTTATAGCTGGTGATGCTAACAACTTGAGATTTTCTGTGTGATAGGCTCCAAAAGCTGGGGTAACTTCTTAGACCGGTTAGATGGAAAATCATTTTTAGATAACGTATCTGCAGCAGTTCAATCAGCAACATAAAGGAAGCCAATTACTACAGATTGAAGTTCAAGAAGATTATTTACCTCTTTGAAGTCTGTTGCCCCATCTAAACAGTTCTTCCAAGTTTCTGCAATGCTAGTTAAGAATAGTACAGAGAATAACCAGTTATTGTTTAAAGTAACACTGTAAGAGTGACAAACATAAAAGTTAACTGAACTGATTGTGAGATACAAAACTAACCTGTTGAACATTCTGTCAGGATGATCAAACTTTCCATTTTGTAAGCAAAGCATATGCTCTGGTGCTGTAAAAACAAAAGAGGTTAGATACATATATTCAAACACGTACCATAATGATATTCTCTGAAATATCTCTGCATATATCTTACCAACTCTGACCAGGTAAAAGAGAACATAACCTGGTGATGAGTAGTGGCTGCCATACATAAATTTTGGTTCTTGCATTTCTTGATAACGCACCTATCAATGCAATAAAGGCAAAAGGAGAGTGGTGAAACAGAGAGAATCAATTCAGGAATAACATTCTTCTATAGTAATTACATGGAGTTTATATTAAAAAGTGAGTCAGCATTTCATTTTTTGTGCACATTGTTCCACAATGACTGAAATGAGTCACTGACACAACTATATACAGTATTCAATCTCAGTGGATTGCCTCAGGCAACAATTATAAAATGTATTATTTTGCAGAAACATGCTAGACTCCAGGGCACTTGGATGAATTCTTCCCCATATCCAGTTTAAAAAAAATATGCACAGTATAATCTGATCCTAAAATATTTGAAAAAATACCTATCAAATCACTGCAACCTGCATATGAAAACCTTAGACAGATATTCTAAACTAGTCTTCTGCACCCTTCTCTTTTATATACTGAAATGTTTAGGTAAAACATTTAGGCTTACTTAATAATAAAATTAATTAGAAATAGTCACATCTTTTATTGATAGTCTAATAAATCACAGTTGAACCTAAATATATCACCTATAAACATTTGAGCTATGCTGCTCTTTACACCTAGATAATAGCCAATTATGTTCTACTACAGATTTGAGAAAAACATTCTAAATGTTGCTGAACCACAAAAAATAGCAGCTTTACTTAATAATACATGTGTAATAATGGAGGTGTGGGAGTTTTATTTTAGGAACACCTGAAGGGCCACTGGATCTTCAATCCTTTTATGGTTTTCTTGTTTTCTATCTATTCATCTGCTTGTATTCACATTTGGATACCTTTACCAAGTAATCACCCTCCAATTCCACCTGAAATTAGACCCTCTCAAATATATATAGGTAAAGTTACATTCTTTAACAATTACTTTTCTATCAATTTTGCACCTATCTTTTATAACAAATTAAAAAATTTAACTAGAAAAAAAACTTAAAATACAGTAAACAAAAAAGTTGTTTTAACATACAAAACTAATTTACACACAAACATACACACACTAATATACAAACAAGGTGTTTTTCTACATACCAGTAATCTTTCCAATCTTTCTTTATTTAGTGCACCTACAGGTTTACTAAGGTCACGAAAAGTTTCAGGATTTGTTAGATCTATGAAAAAAAAAGAACATTTGTAAACATATACTATATTACTAACAATAGTATGACAATTTTATTTTCTAAAGCATATGGACAAAACTTAAAATATCAAATTAGGATTAATTAGGACCTATACCTTCTTCATCAGTCTTTAAAGCATAATTGTAATCCTTGGGAAGAATTTAGACTAATGAGTCTACTGATTTCAATGATGTCAGCGCAGGGAAAAAACTTCACTGAACATTTTCGTTTTTTCAGATACCTGTACTGTAGAAAAGTAATTTTTTTCTATCCTCAAATATATGAAAAAGTTTAATGGAAAAATTATCCCAATTTTGACTTCACAATCAAATCAGCAAGTGAATGCACCTCATTTCCGGTTTTTAAATTAGCTTCTTAAACCCAAAAGCCAATTAGTTTTTTCCCCTTTATTTTATGTTTTAATATTTTAACATTTTTTTCACAACTTATTATCAGTATGAAAAATATGAAACAATCAATTGGACAAATATTATGCAAACAAAATCTAATATAATGGGGTTTTATAATAGGTGTGTGTGTGTATGTGTGTGTGTGTGTATGTATGGTATTCATAAATCTCAAGTTAGAAATCTCAAGTTAAAAGAGCAGGAATACTATGTGACCTCAAATTCCTACAGCTGCAGAGACAACAATGCAACACCAACCAGCTTCAAATTAACATTTCATCACAGCACAGCAGCTATCAAACGTATCCTGAAAAGAACTGAAATGGCTCTATTCAGGAACGAGCTTCACAGAAAGAGATTCCAACTGGACCAGTTAAACAAAGACCTCCTAACCCTACACCTGGAATTGAGCAACAAAATTCACCCTCTACTTTGGGACAAGACAAAGCAACTTACAACTTGGAGAGCTGAAACTGAAACCACTTACAAAAATGACAAACTCCTGAAGAAATTAAAGAAATTAGAACATGACAAGAAAGCCCCCAACAACTCACAACACCTGAAACAATTAGTATACAATGTTTCCAACAGAGAACTCACCAAAACAGAAACAGATGTCCTAACCAAAGGATTCAATTATGCTATAGCACCCAAAAAAATCCCCACAGAATCCATCATATGCGGAGTGGAATCCAGCCTAACTAAATTAAATACAGATGAAGCTGATAGAATAAGACACCAAGCCACTAACATCCTATGCACAAGCAAACCACCCAAAAGCAACTTACACAAAGAGGAACTAAAAGCCCTGCAAGCCCTAAGGAACGACAGCAGCATAATCATACTTCCAGCAGATAAAGGTAATGCCACAGTAGTAATGGATAGAAAAGACTACGAAACAAAATTGACAGACCTACTCCAAGACTCCACATACAAACCCATAAACACAGACCCAAACACATATCTGGAAAAAATAACCAGGAAGAAAATCATAACCAGCAACATGAGCAAAGAGATCCAACAGAAGACCATCCCAAGAGAAAAATCTTCCACGTGTCCCAAATTATACGGTCTTCCCAAAATACACAAAGAAGGCTTACCTCTCAGACCCATAGTCAGCTCCAGAGGAGCACCACTACAAAACCTAGCCAAATACCAAGCAAAGCAGCTACAGCCCCATGCTGAAGCAGCAGCTTCACATGTACAAAACTCATACCACCTCTTGGAAATGATCAAAGATCTACAGATGGAATAAAAAGATCTGCTTGTAAGTTTTGACGTGGTTTTGCTATTCACTCAAGTCCCGATAAAAGAAACTCTTGAAATCATCAAAAACAAATACCAACCGCCCAAACACCTCATGGAACTAGCAGAACACTGCTTAACCAACACATATTTTATATACAAAGAACAAAGACACAAGCAAATTGAAGGAGCCCCTATGGGATCACCACTGTCACCCGTCATTGCAAACCTGTTCATGAAAGAATTCGAATCCAGAGCCCTAGCCAATGCCACCCACAAACCCAAACTATGGTTAAGATACATCGATGACACATTTGTTATTTGGCCCCATGGAAAAGAAAACCTAAACAATTTCCTAACACACCTAAATAGCACACACCCCAAAATCAAATTCACCATGGAAATGGAAACAAACAAACAACTACTGTTCCTAGATGTACTAATCTACAAAAAAACAGATGGCACACTAGGACACACCATATACCAGAAGAAAACACATACCAACCGCAACCTCAACGCCCAATCCCACCACCACCCAGCACAGATAAACTCCGTGGCCAAAACACTAACTGCCAGAACCAAATGCCTGGCAGACAAGACACACATAAAGACTGAACTATGCACCCTGACTAAAGTACTGACAGCTAACGGCTTCCACAAAAGCAAAATCACTGGCCTGATCCACAAAAACACACTGAGACATAATGGAGACCTAGAAGATGAACAGACCTGTGGAACAGCTGTCCTGCCCTATATAAGAGGTACTACAGACAAAATCAGTAAGATACTACACAGGCATCACATCAAGACTGCCTTCAAAACAGACAGAAATTTAGCAGCCATCCTAAGAAACCGCAAAGATAAAATTGACCTGGAAAACCAAGGCATATATGAAGTCCCCTGTGCATCATGCCCTGCCACATATATTGGACAGACCAATAGAAGAATAAGTACCTACCTGGATGAACACAAAAATGCAGTAAAAAAGCTGGAACACACTTCCTCACTAGTCCAACATATGAAAGCCACAGGTCATAGCATCGACTTCAATGACACCAAAACCCTAGCCACTATAGAAAACCCCAGCTACAGAATTATCAGAGAAGCCATAGAGATTGAAAAAAAGACCTGAAAGCATGAATAGAAGAGATGACTCCACCAGACTGTCAATTATTTGGAAGCCTGCACTCACAAACAAAAAAATCTCCACACCACAAGCCAGGCAAACACCTGGGCACAAACAGACACCCTCTGATACCTCCAGCTCAAACACACCCCAACCAGGCAGCCAGATGAAACCTAGCTTCCTAATAAATGATAGCCGGCCATTTACTCGGAGCCAAGCTTCACTAAAAGCCTCCAATACAGGAAACACAATGTTGCCAGCCAACCAAGACAAAAAAACTCTACAAAACAGACAGAAGATATTAGAAACACCAATCAAGCAGAACACAGCAAACTCCAAGACCAGTAAACACAGACCAAGACTCCCAACCAATCAGGATGAAGAAAAAACCATTCTGGCACAGCAGATGGCTAGCACCAAATTTAAAACAGAAAAGGCGGTGAAAGTCTGACTCACAGGCGAACACAATACACAAGCCTGATGATGGCAGATGAGATTCTGCCGAAACGTTCCTACAACTTTAAAAG